AACTTTGAATACCTTCCACCATTGGAACGAATTAGAAAATTTTCAAAAAAATAAAATCCAATAAAAATTCTTTTAAAATCTTTAAAATATCTAATATAGGAAGGTGCCGATATAAGGGGGATATACGATATTGTGGACCTACAAAGACAAATTTATGTCTGCGTGTAAAGTACTCACAAGGAACTCCGTGTGTGGATTTTCAGACAATACGATTGGAAAATGTGGCTAAAATCATCAAAATACCGAATATCGCGGGGTACCGTTATATGGGAGCTATACGTTATCGTTAACCTATATAGAGAATTCTCTGTCGGTGGGTAAAGTGCTCACAAAGAACCCCTTGTATACAAAGAACCCCTTGACCATTCCGTTGAAAAATATGGCTAAAAACATCAAAATACCGAATATCGGGGGTACCGTTATATGAGGGCTATACAATATCGTGGATCTATATAGATAATTCTCTGCCGAGGTATAAAGTACCCACAAGGAACTCCTTGTGTGGATTTTCAGACAATTCCGATGAAAAATGTGGGTCAAATCATAAAATACCGAATATCGGGAGGTACCGTTATATGGGGGATATACGATATCGTGGACCTGTATAGACAATTCTCTCAGGGGGTGAAGTACTCACAAGGAACTACTTGTGTTGATTTTAAGACAATTTCATTGAAAAGCGTGGCTAACATCATCAAAATACCGAATATCGGAGGTTACAGTTATATGTGGGATATACGATATCGTGGACCTATATAGACACTTCATTTTGAGGAGGTAAAATGCCCACAAGGAACTCCTTGTGTGGATTTTCAGACAATTCCGTTCAAAAATGTGGGTAAAATCTTCAAAATACCGAATATCGGGGGGTACCGTTATATGGGGGCTATACGATATTGTGGACCTATATGGACAATTCTCTGCCGTGGTATAAAGTACCCACAAGGAACTCCTTGTGTGGATGTTCAGACAATTCCGTTGAAAAATGTGGGTAAAATCATCAAAATACCGAATATCGGGGGGTACCGTTACATGGGGGCTATACGATATCGGGGACCTATATAGATAATTCTCTGCCAAAGGATAAAGTACCGACAAGGAACTCCTTGTGTGGATTTTCAGACAATTCCGTTGAAAAATGTGGGTAAAATCGACAAAATACCGAATATCGGGGGGTTCAGTTATATGGGGGCTATACGATATCGTGGACCGATATAGCCCATCTTCGAACTTGACCTGCCTGCAGACAAAAGAGAGATCTATGCAAAATTTTAGCTTCCTATCTTAATTCGTTTAGACTGTAGCGTTATTACAACAGACGGACAGACGGACGGACAGGGCTAAATCGTCTTAGAATTTTACGCTTATCAAGAATATATATACTTGGTTGGGTCTAAAATGATTATTTCGATGAGTTACAAACGGAATGACGAACTTAATATACCCTCCATACCTTTTTTGGTGGAGGGTATAAAAATAAGAGAAACTAATTTTAAAATTTTACATCGCAAAGTAACATAAATGAAAGCAGCATTTTTCCCACTCTTAACTTTTTAAACAATTTCAAAAAAATCCTTGAATCCTTGAATTTTAGGTATATTGTGTTTTTGACAATATTACTGATAAAATTGCGAGGGTTATTTTGCTAGAAAACGTTAACCCTCAAGCGAGTCACCAAAGGGAAATTCATGGTTCTTATTCAAAACATGGTTAAAAACAAAATTTTCTAAAAGTTACCACAATAAAGAAAACTTTATTTCGAAAATGGAACAATGTTGGCTTGTTTGTTCGGGATACCATTGTATTTTGTTGTTGCAAAATTGTCAGGCTTAATCCCTTTATTATTGTTTATAAAAAAAACCTTTGTTTATTAGTGGAGAGCAATAGTAATGTTGACCAGGGGGTAAGGCAGGAAATACCTAAGTTTCGGAAAGAGCCAATAATTCTCATCAGTTCCCTCGTTTTTCGTCTGGGATATTCTCCCCAGAAGTTATTTAAAAAACACTTCTATAACAAAATTTCATAATTTCCTTCCCCTTCATTTTGGGCTGAAAGTGTCAAAGGAAGAAATATTCTACACCAAATGTATATCTATGAAGTATTTTTCAAATGAAACAAGTAAAAAAGAAGCTAAGTTTGGCCGAGCCGAACTTTTTATATCCTTTACCAGTCGGAAGGAACTTGAAAATGTTCAAAAATAATTCCGTCGAATAATACCGCTCAAATGAAAACCTTTATATAGTGGCTATACGAAGACCTGGTACTCGATAAGTAATTTTTTGTCATAGGCTGTAGTAACGATTCCGAACTTCAAATACAAAATTCGAAACAATTCCGGTGAATAATGTCGCTAATATCATCAAAATACCGAATAAAGGGTGATGCCGTTGTTTTGGGGGCTATACAGGGTGAATATTTTTACAGTTTTTTTTTTTTATTTCAATGAATAATACCAAAAAATTTCGGAAATTGCATCAACTTTTAGAAGAAATTTAGATTTGTTCGAATTGGTCACCTTTGGCACGGATTATGGCCTTCAAACGGCCAATGAAACCGTCACACGCTGCCTGAATGTTGCTCTGCAGTATTTTGGCCCATTCCAGGCGAAGCGCTTGCTTGAGGTGGTATTTTTGGTGCCAACTTTGCTTTCCAAAATACTCCAGGTATCCGGAGATTTTGATGGCCATTGTGCGCTGGCAATGAAGCGAGGAACCTCATTTTGTAACCATTCCTGGGTGGCGCGTGCCGATTGCGATGGTGCTGAGTTCTGTTGGAATGTCCAAGGTCTGCGGCCAAAATGTTTGCGTGTCCAAGGCTTTAATACACCCTCCAGAATATATTATATTCTGATGCCACGGTCGATTAATACGAGCGGAGAGCGACAATCGGCTGTTATGGCGGCTCACAACATTCCCATGGCCAACCAAAGCTGCACATTTTCAGCTGACCACTTTGGCAAGTAAACTCGATCATTTTGTTTGTTTACAAACTCATCGGAGAAAACCAAATTTGGCAGTTCACCACTTTCGGCCAAGCGAAGCAACTCATTAGCTCTTTTGAGTCTATTTTCTTTCCGTTGCGGTGTAAGTTCTTGCACTTTTTATACCCTCCACCATACTATGGAGGGTATATTAATTTTGTCATTCCGTTTGTAACTCCTCGAAATACTCATGTCAGACCCAACAAAGTATATATATTCTTGATCAGCGTAAAATTCTAAGACGATTTAGTCATGTCCGTCTGTCTGTCTTTCTGTTTTAATCACGCTATCTTTCGAACAAATTGAGAAAGAAGGCTAAAATTTTGCACACATGTATATTTTGCCAGTAGGCAGGTTAAGTTCGTAAATGGGCCATGTAGGTCCAAGTTATCATATAGCCCTCATATATCCGTACCTCCCGATATTCGGTATTTTGATGATTTTAGCGACATTATTCGCCGGAATTGTTTCAAATTTGACATTTGAAGTTCGTAATGGATACTACAGCCTAAGACAGAAAATTATCTGTGCAGGTTCACGTCTTCGTGTAGCCCCCATATAACGGTACCCCCGATATTCGGTATTTTGATGATTTTAGCGACATTGTTTACCGGAATCGTTTCAAGTTTGGTATTTGAAGTTCATAATGGATACTCATCCTAAGTCAAAAAATGAGCCATGTAGGTCGACGTCTTCATATAGCCCCCATATACCGTACCCCCGATATTTGGTATTTTGAAGATGTTAGCCACATTTTTCAACGGAACTGTCTGAAAATCTACACGAGGAGTTCTTTAGGGGCACTTTACCCCCTGAAAGAGAATTGTCTATATAGGTCCACGATATCGTATAGCCCCATATAACGGTACCTCCCGATATTCGGTATTTTGATGATTTTAGCGACATTATTTAACGGGATTGTTTCAAATTTCGCATGTGAAGTTCGTAATGGATACTTCAGACCATGCCATAAAATTGTCTGTGCAGGTTCACGTCTTCGTATAGCCCGCATATAACGGTACCCCCCATATTCGGTATTTAAATGTTTAAGCTACATTATAAACAGATTTTTCTTCAAGTTTCGCATTTAAATATTGTAATTACTTATAACAAAAGTTGCCTATGCAGGTCCACGTCGTCGTTTAAGCATTCGGTATTTTTAAGATTTTAACAGAATTTTTAACGGATTTTATTTTATTTATTTATTTATTTTTTTTTTTTTTTTTTTTTTTTTTTTTTTTTGAGAAATTGCCAAATTTGTACCAAATGGAAGTTCGGCCGGGCCGAACTTACAGCTTTTTTACTTGTTGGAATTTCAATGACTTTACTCCGAGCTCACTTTTCAATATTTGCCGAATGAATATATTTTTTTGGCCACTGCGACGCGGGTTTCGATCAAGTCGCTTCTTTACTTTTCGAACCATTTCTGCTGATGTGGCCTTTTTCTTCCGTCCACTTCCTTGACGCCGTGCTACGCTACCAGTATCACGATGACGAGCGATGGTACGAGACAAAAAATATTTATTCACATTTAAATGCTGGAGTGCTCTAACGATAGCCAGTTGTGGTTTTCCAGCCAAATATAAAGAAATCACAATATCACGCTTGAATTCCATCACGAATAATTTTTTTTCTGGAAAATTCCCTCCAAAATGCTTTTGTACGCTTGTAAACAAAATAATTAACTGATACTGGAATAATTTTAACAGCTGTCGGACGAGTGGCGTGGAAATGACAGCAGTCTGAAGTTGGTTACAGTTTTTTCATCTCACCATCTATAGATAAATCCTTGTTTAATGTCCGAAAAGTCCTTGCAGAATTATTGAATAGTATTTTTAAACTCGATGCTTATTTCTCTGTTGTCCATCCTGAAATTAAATTAAATGATCTACTTTAAATACTCAGTTCATATCTATAAAAATTATTTCACTCCTAAAAAATAATTTCTGATTTGATTTTTATGTCAGATTTTTTAATTTTCAAAAAATTTAAATATTTTCCATTCTATTTTTCTTTTTAGTCTAAACATGTATACGACGACAAACCAATAGTGGAGCTCAATGCCATAATACCAGTGAACTTAAAGTCGATATTAAAACAATTTTTTTACAAAAGCAGTTTTTTGTAATCTTAGCGAGAGGTAATCAACAAAAAATCCACCTAAATGTCCGACGAAGTGCCTTCGGGGAGATTATCTCAAATTTTTGATCCGCTTACCAACTTGCAGCAGCCGGGCAGCACTCATCATCATCAGCAGCAGCATTATCTCCAACAGCAGCAACAACAACAGCACTGCCTGTTAAGAAGAAGATCAAATTCCTCCTCTCCATCACCCTCAACATCGGGTCGGGCAACACCAGCTTCATTGGGTGCGGCTAGTGTGGGCAGTGCTGGTAGTAGCGGTAGTTCACATCACCATCATCAACAGCAGCAGCAGCAGCATCAGGCATTCCAACACCAGTACCAGTACTTAACTCAAACTCATAATTATTTTCTACGTTCTCAAGATGCTGGGTCGGGTGGTGTGGGTGGACATAATTATTTGCACACCTTCCCATCGGCTGCAAATCAAAGTCATTACTTTCAGCAACAACAGCATTATCAAGGGCAATATGCCACACATCACCATCATCAACAGGGGCATTTGATGTCGCCCTATGTGCAACAACAACAACAGCCATTGCAACATCAACAACAGCAACAGCATTCGTTGCCACCCCTTTATGCCACTTCGCATTCTTTGAATTCTTCTCCATTGCTTACCAAACGGGCCATCTCCTTTAGCGGCAATATGCCTCTAAGTCGCCAACAAATGGAATCGGGTCTGGGCAGTCCGGCAGCTGCCTTCCAACGTAGCCAAGCTACAGCCCAATCGACACCAAATAGTCCACGTCTAATGCCTCGGCGGACCCAAAAACCACCACCCATACCGGCTAAACCCACCAGTAGCGGCGCAACGGCATCAATAGCATCGCCTGCCGTCCCCAGTGCCTCAAACCAAAATGTAATGTTAAAAGATCAACAGCCACAACAGCAACAACAACAACAAGTGAATCCAGCTGCATCACTGGATGGTGCTGATGCCCCATGGCCTCATTTTTCATCGCTGACGGAATATTTGGATGTTCACCAGGTCAATAATTATACGCAGGATGTACCAGAGGTAGGTTTAAAAATCAGCGTTGGCAATGATTGAGGTGAAATTAATTATCTGATTTTCCGTTTCAGATCAACTGGCAAGAACGCTGCCTAGAGCTCCAATTGGAATTACATCGTTCAAAGAATCAAGCTGGCCGTATACGAGACATGTTAAGAGAAAAGGTGAGTATAACCGAAATATTTTAAATGAAATGAAATTAATGGAAGTAGGAGTTTTTTTTCTGAAGATAAATTAGTTTTGTCTAAGGCTGGGGTTAGATTAAAATAATCGTTGAGAGTATTTTATGGATATAGGTTTACAAATTACTCTATACATCAACCAGTCGGGAAAAAAAATGAAATCTATGTAGGTCGGCATCTTGAAAAGTGTATTTTGGTTTAATACTATCCAAACTCAAATCAGAGATTCATTCCTATCATTAAGTTAATATTAATGATCTCTCTAGACTTCATTTGAATCCAGAAGAGCTTCAAGGGTGCTGAATCAAGGAGAACCTCTAAGCTCACCCACGATAGGAAAACAAGCAATTCATTGATAATAATCATTGACTACAAACCATCGACTTTCACAAGTCCGGTAAATCCATTGATGATTGATTTGACGGTAAAATCCATTGATGATACTTCGTTGTCGTTGGGGTTACGAAAGGATTGAAGCAAATTCAGAATCATTGGTACAGAAAATGTGTCATACTGGTCTACTTTTTGGAATAGTCGTCAAGTAAGAATAACTCCGATTTCAAGTCCTTCTTAAGTTCTGGTCATGTATCCATTTACTTTCAACAAATGTTGAAATTTTGAGTTTTGAGTTGAGCAACTAAGTTCGGCCGGGCCGAACTTTTAAGACCCTTCACCATTTGGAAGGAACTTGAAATTATTCATAAATACCGTTTAAATGGTGGCCTTTGTACTTGGGCTATACAAAGACGTGGACGTGCATAAGTATTTTTTTTTTTTTTTTTTTGTAATGGGCTGTAGTACCCATTAAAATTTTCTAATAGGAAATTTAAAACAATTCGGGCAATACCATTATATGGGGGCTATACGAAAACGTGGAACTTCAGGGGAATTTTTTTGTCATAGGCTGTACTAAAATAGAAATGTGAAACAATTCCGGCGAATAATGTCGCTGAAATCTTCAAAACACCAAGTATAGGGAGGAAGACTAAGACGTAAACCTGCATACGACGTTTGTAGGCATAAGCTGTAGTACTCATTACAAACTTCGAATACAACACTTGAAACAATTCGGGTGAATAATGTCGCTAAATCCATCAAAATACCGAATATCGGGAGGTACCGTTAGATGGGGGCTATACGAAAACGTAGTCCGGCATAAGTCCCACTTACAAACTTAACCTGCCTACAGACAAAATACACATGCATGCAAAATAGTAACCTTCTGATGTCCGATGCCGTTAAGTGATCCGACAAGGTACTCCCTACACTTGATGTCAAGAATTTATCTAGACCTTTTATAGCTCAGGCGTCCAGGTACCTTTTATCGCTCCAGGTACAATTTCCATTCGTCTATGAAAAATCACTCTAGCATCTGAACGAAATGAAGTAGGTTGGAAACATTTTACTCAGAAACATCCTTGCATAGAACTGTCAAAATAGGTATAAGGTTTAGTATGGTCCTCACATAACTGTTCATCCAGATATTCGGTCTTTTTTCCCCTCCACCATAATATGAAGGGCATATTGAGTATAAATTTTAAACCCTGCAAAGTACATACAGCAAAAGAAAAAAGGTCGCAAATAGCATCAAATTTTAGAATAAGTTTAGTTTTGTCACCTTTGGCACGAATTGAGGTCTTCAAGCGGCCAATGAAACCGTCACACGCTGTCCGAATGTTGCTCTGCGGTATTTTCGCCCATTTCCGGCGAAGCGCTTGTTTGAGGTGATCGACACTTTTGTATTTTTTAGTGCCAACCTTGCTTTCCAAAATACTCCAGACACAATTGTCCAACGAAATGGTATCCGGAAATTTTGGTGGCCATTGTGCGCTGGAAATGAAGCGAGGAATCTCATTTTGTAACCATTCTTGTTTGACGCGTGCTGAGTCCTATTGGAATGTCCAAGGTCTGCGGCCAAAATGTTTGCACCTAAGGTTTTAATACATCCTCCAGAATATTTTCGCGATAATAATCGGCATTTATTCTGATGCCACGGTCGCTTAATATGAGCAGAGAGCGACCATCGGCTGTTACGGCGGCCCACACCATCACCATGGCCGGCGCTTGAGTTCTGGTTGCAAACCGAAGGTGCATTTTTCAATATTTGCCAAATGGGTTTCGATCAAGTCGCTTCATTACTTTTCGAACCATTTCTGTTGATGTTGCTGTTTTCTTCCGTCAACTTCCTTGAAGTCGGGCTACGCTACCAGTATCACGGTCACGAGCGATGGCACGAGACACAAATAATTTATTAGCATTTAAATGCTGGAGTGCTATAACGATAGCCACTTGTGGTTTTCCAGCCATACATAACTTTTGTTGTGGAAAATTCTCACCAAAATGTTTTGTACGCTTGTAAACAATATAATTTTAACAGCTGTCGGTCAAGTGGCTTAGAAATGACAGCAGTCTGATATTGGTTTTTTCATCTCGCCCTATATTTGAATAGTAGATCAAAGTGGCCAAGCTTTTTAGGGCCCATTATACATAGCCTTTACCATACACAAAGGCCCTCAAATATTGTTCCCTAACCTTCGCAAAATTTGCGATAGAGTTGTTAATTTGATACAGTCCTATGGGTTACATGTACAATCATTTGTACAAAATATGGGTCATGTCGGTCTACGATTTTGTATAGCTCCCATATAAAGGTATACCATGTTTTCAAGTATTTTTTTATATTTAAGAAATATTTTTCAAACCAATAATAGTCAGGGCTGTCACAGAAACCATGTCGGTTTTGCTTATTGTCGTTTTTGTAAACCAATGTTGGTTTCATTTGGTGTCATGAAACCAAGTTGGTACTTATAAAGCTGCTTTGCAGATTTATGGTTTATGGTCCTTTAAATATCCTTAAAAAATCCACGTTTATGGTCCTTTAAATATCCTTAAAAAATCCGCGTTTATGGTCCTTTAAATATCCTTAAAAAATCCACGTTTATGGTCCTATAAATATCCTTAAAAAATCCGCGTTTATGGTCCTTTAAATATCCTTAAAAAATCCACGTTTATGGTCCTTTAAATATCCTTAAAAAATCCGCGTTTATGGTCCTTTAAATATCCTTAAAAAATCCACGTTTATGGTCCTTTAAATATCCTTAAAAAATCCGCGTTTATGGTCCTTTAAATATCCTTAAAAAATCCACGTTTATGGTCCTTTAAATATCCTTAAAAAATCCGCGTTTATGGTCCTTTAAATATCCTTAAAAAATCCACGTTTATGGTCCTTTAAATATCCTTAAAAAAATCCAAGCTTATGGTCCTTTAAATATCCTTTAAAAATTCTTTAAAAAATCCACGTTTATGGTCCTTTAAATATCCTTTAAAAATTCTTTAAAAAATCCACGTTTATGGTCCTTTAAATATCCTTTAAAAATTCTTTAAAAAATCCACGTTTATGGTCCTTTAAATATCCTTTAAAAATTCCTTAAAAATCCACATTTATTGTCCTTTAAATATCCTTTAAAAATTCTTAAAAAAATCCATGTTTAAAGTTTTTTAACTTTCCTTTAAAAATTCTTTGAAAAACCACGTTTATAGTCCTTTAAATATCCTTTAAAAAATCCACATTTTTAGTCCTTTGAAAATCCTTTAAAAAATTCTCTAAAAAATACATGTTTATGGTCCTTTAAATATCCTTTAAAAATTCCTTAAAAAATCGACGTTTATGGTCCTTTAAATATCCTTTAAAAATTCTTTAAAAAACCACGTTTATAGTCCTTTAAATATCCTTTAAAAATTCTTTAAAAAATCCACATTTTTAGTCCTTTAAATATCCTTTAAAAATTGTTTAAAAAATCTACATTTTTAGTCCTTTGAAAATCCTTTAAAAATTGTTTAAAAAATCCACATTTTTAGTCCTTTAAATATCCTTTAAAAATTCTTTAAAAAATCCACGTTTATGGTCTTTTAAATATCCTTTAAAAATTCCTTAAAAAATCCATGTTTATGGTCCTTTAAATATCCTTTAAAAATTCTTAAAAAAATCCATGTTTAAAGTTTTTTAAATATCCTTTAAAAATTCTTTAAAAAATCCACGTTTATGGTCTTTTAAATATCCTTTAAAAATTCCTTAAAAAATCCATGTTTATGGTCCTTTAAATATCCTTTAAAAATTCTTAAAAAAAATCCATGTTTAAAGTTTTTTAAATATCCTTTAAAAATTCTTTAAAAAATCCACGTTTATAGTCCTTTAAATATCCTTTAAAAATTGTTTAAAAAATCCAAAGCAAATGAAAAGTGACAGCTCTTAGCAACTTGGTTTATTTCCAATAACAAAACCAATAACATTGGCTTCTATGTCAACCAAAACCGATAAAATTCTAATTCGAAAATAAAACCGATAACATTGATTTTCATGACACCAAAGCATTTTTCTTGTCGTTTTTAAAACCAATAGAGACAAAATTAGTTTCTATGACAGCCCTGAATATGAGCTTTTCGAAAAAGAAAACATCTTTTCGAAAAATTATAAGTATGGGACCGAGTTTTGGTATAACCCTCATATGAAACTCTCCCATGATTTCAGCGATTTCCGAGATCTTGGTCACATTTTTCAATTGACTTGGCTCTTATTTGGCTTCTAAGGGAATAGAAAACCTCTACGCAGAAAATTTTCTACATTTTCCAATCGATTTGGCTAAAAACGTGTATTTAGGCAACTTTGGGAGGAGAGAACCATCTTACAGAAAATTGTCAATATATTTACATTTTTTGGTATAGTCCCCATACAATAGTATCTCCCAGGTCCACCGATAGTCATGTTTACCGATTGGTGGACAAACGGACATACAAAAAACATAGACGTTGTGTGGACTCTAACGCACAATTTGAAAAAGTGTAAAAGTGAAATTAACTATTCTTAAGTTGGAGGTGGACAAGACTAAATGGGTCTCATCAGCTCATTTGAATGGAAAATTTAGGTTTATAACTCTCAAATTAAAGGCTATGGCTGTATTTTTAATTTTTTATTAAGATTCTTG